TAAATTCATAGCAATTCATATATCAAGTCTTGCATTATCAGCAAGATACATTAGTGCTCCAATTCTAATAAGATATGATATTTTAAGACCAAGAAGTTCTTCATTATCCTCACGAGGTCGAAAAAGTTCTTTTTCACATCTAATGACTTTACAATCATTGGTGAACTCAATGGTTATGATTTTTTCATATAAAATTGTTTTAGCATTTTACGATATAACTTGATTGATGGACAAAAATTTTATTTTCTAAATGTTCAATCTAAACACCCAAAATAAAATTTTATTTTTTCAAGTCTTTTATCTCAAATTCTCTCTTTAAGTAATTCACAACTTTTGATAACTCTTCAAGAGTTTCAATAATATTCAAGTCATCAACATAGATAGCAATTATAATATATTCATATCTAAACCCTTTTATAAAATACATGGACATATAGGATTATTTCCATAGCCTTCTTTCAACATATATGCACTAAGGCAATTATATCACATGTTTCTGGATTACTTTAATCCATATACATATTTATTTAATTTGATCAAACAAATTTCTCGAGAATTCAAATTTTGTGCTTCATGCAACTTAAACCTTTTAAGGATTTTCATACAGATATCAATATCATATGAGCCATATAAATAGGTTGTAGCTATATTTATTAGACGCATTTCAATCTTCTCATATGTTGTTAGACTAGTTAATATATGATTGTAATTGCATCCATCATAGAGAATATCTCTTCATCTTCAATACTAGATTTTTAGAGAAAACCTTGTGCGACAAGCTGTGCTTTATATCTCATAATCTTATTTTTCTCATTTCATATTCGCATAAATATCCATTTATATCTTATTAGTTTTACATCATTTGATGTACGCACTACAGATCCAAAAACTTCATATTTTGCAATTAAATTTAATTTTACCTTAATTGCGTCTTTCCACATTGGCCAATCATTCATTTGTCTACATTCTTCAATAAATAAAAATTCAAGATTCTCATTTTTCGTTCATAATATTAAGCTCTATATTATATACAAAATATCATCGACATTTATTTATCGGTTCTATCTTTTTTCGTTATGAGATAATTGATTGAGATCTCTTCACTTTCAATGATTTTAGGTACTTGAATTTTTTTTGAAATTTTCTCAATTATGTCAAGGGTCTCTTTTAGAGTTTTTAGTTTTTTTTTGACCATTTTAAATATTTGCTCCTTTTTTTTTGAGGATTTTATCTTTGGAACCGATTGGTCTCTATGCTTCTGACGTGCCTTGTCCTATTGGGACATCAATGCTGATAGGAGCATTTGCAGCTGGTACATAAAATTTAGTTATTCTTTTAGGTTAGTAAATACGTCTGGTAATTGATTTACTATTTACTATATTTTGTAAAATAATAATATTTTGAACTTCAAGTTCATATTGATTTTTGCGAGGATCAAAACTAGATAATAATAATTTATTCAAGAAAATTTTCTTTTGCAACTGCTTATTTTTCTCCCCCTAATGTTGAAAAAATTATTTCATCAATATGACAATTGACAAACTTTGTCATGAATAAATCTCTTATTGATAATTCTAGATATTTAATTACAAATGGAGATTTGTATTCAACATATATTCATAATCTCCTTTGAAGACCCATCTTTGTGCGTTGTGGTGGAGCAATTGAAACATATACCGCACATCCAAAAATTCTTAGATAGAAAATATGTTTTTCTTGACCATAAACCAATTGTATAGGGAGAATTTATAATAACTCGTTTGGCCTGATGCATACAAATGTTGCTGCATCCAAAATGGCATGCCCCCAAGTAGTCATTGGGAGTTTAAATTTCATAAGTAATGACCTTACAATCAGTTGAAAGTGTTTAATAAATAATTTTGCAAGATCATTTTGTGTATAAACATAAGCAACAGGCTATTCAATAGTTATTCCAACTAATA